TCGCCAAACTGCTTTTTCCCTCGATGTTCGTAACTGGTAGTGGAGATGCGCACATCATCCCCTCCCCAGCATCCTCTCTTAATTATCTACTAAGTATGAATCTATGTGAGTATATACATCAACTAGAGTCATAATGTTCCAGTTTTTTCCTCTCCTGATTATGTTGATTCTCTTGCTTCCCAGCTGGCATGATGAGGAGTCTCATAAATTCCATTACTCCTGTTTAGATAGCTATCATGAGAATGGTAATTCCCAGTGATAGTAACTGCACGCTTGTTGGAATATTGACGACACCCTCAGAGCTAAATAAGTGGCCAGCCCAGACTGACAACTGTGACGTGGCTGCCAGCTCAGCTGACATACTGAAGTGGCTGCCAGCTCAGGCTGACACATGAAGTGGCTGCCAGCTCAGACTGACACATGCTGAAGCTGGCTTCCCTCAGCTGACACTACTGAGCTGGCTCCCACTCAGGCGACACTGCTGAGCTGGCTGCCAGCTCAGACGACACAGCTGAAGCGGGTGCCAGCTCAGATGACACTACTGAAAACTGCTGCCAGCTAACTGACACAGCTGAAGCTGTTCCCAGTCAGAACTGACATGCTGAAGCTGGCTGCCAGCTCAACTGCACTGCTGAAGCTGGCTGCACTCAGATTGACTACTGAAACTGGTGCCAGTCAACTGACACAAAGCTAAAGCTGTGCCATCAGACTGACATGTGAAGCTGCTCCGTCTAGACTGACACTGAGCTGGCTGCCAGCTCAGACTGACATACTGAACTGGCTGCCAGCTCAGACTGACATTACTGAAACTGCTGCCAGTCGACTGACACTACTGAAACTGGTGCAGTCAGACTGAACTACTGAAATGGCTGCCACTCAGACTGACACTACTAAACTGCTGCAGCTCAGCTGAATCACTACTGAACTGGCTGCCAGCTCAGATGCCTAAGCTGAAGCTGGCTGCCAGCTCAGACTGACACTGCTGAAGCTGGCTGCCAGCTCAGACTGACACAGCTGAAGCTGGCTACCAGCTCAGGACTGACACGCTGAAGCTGGCTGCCAGCTCAGACTGACACAGCTGAAGCTGGCTACCAGCTCAGCTGACACAGCTGAAGCTGGCTGCCAGCTCAGACTGACACTGCTGAAGCTGGCTGCCAGCTCAGACTGACACAGCTGAAGCTGGCTGCCAGCTCAGACTGACACTGCTGAAGCTGGCTGCCAGCTCAGACTGACACAGCTGAAGCTGGCTACCAGCTCAGACTGACACAGCTGAAGCTGGCTGCCAGCTCAGACTGACACAGCTCAACACCTCTCATGAGCCCCATCCTGCGTGATGGAATATAACAGGGAAACATAAATATTTTTTATTCCCACTGTGTAACTATCATGGATAGTGTTGCATCACACTGCTGATGTATGTAGCTTTATTTAATATTAACACCATCGTCCCTTAGCGTCGGTCCCCAGCGTGTCTGCCAGTCCTCCTGGCCTGTCATTACCACTAACCTTCAATCAATAACGAAAACCCCTCGGATTTAAGAAAGGTCGCAAGGGTATGCATCGCGACAACGTTTCGCTCTGTTTAGAGCCTTATCAGGTCAAGCTCTGCTCTACACAGAGCGAAACGTTCTCATAATGGACGGTAGTTCTGCAGCGCATAACGTATGTTCCTCAATTCAATACAGAAATGATATACGAAGATAGTAAAGAAGATAATCAGAACTATACACAAAAAACAAGATGAGACCATTAGTCCCTCAACCTTGAAGAACTGTATACACAAAAGACAAGATGAGGTGATCAGTCCCTTAGCGTTGCAGAACCATACACACAAGACAGTAAACGAAGTAATCAGTCCCTCAGCCTTAAAGCTGGTATTTAGTATCCAGCAGATCCACCACAAAACCAAAACAATCATCGTTATATTCCCTCTATTATCGCTGCCCTTCACACAACGAAGGGGGTGAAGCGTGGCCCAAGGCGGTGGTGGGGCGGATGGTTGCGCTTTCCCGAGAAACGGTAAATGAGCAGAAAATAGGCGTAACGGCTGCTGACGGAGAAATGGATACAATGAATACATGATGACGGGAGGGAAGCAGTGACAAGGGGACGCACTCTCCCCTCAATAGACCGCACAGGGGCCACGCAACAAGGGTGCGTCCGGAGGGGAAAGAGGAGGGTGAGGGAAGGAAGGGAAGGAATAGGAGGATGGTAGAGGGAAGGAAGAGAGGGGGATAGGAAGAGGGGTAGAGGACAGGAGGACGGGTAGGGAAGGGAGAGAGAGAGGGGATAGAAGGAGGGTAGAGGGAAGGGAGAGAGAGGGGATAGAAGGAGGGTAGAGGGAATGGAGAGAGAGGGGATAGAAGGTGGGGTAGAGGAAATGACACTATCACCACCATGCCGCTCAGCCGCAAACGGATGGAAATGACTTGTCCATTGGAGCGTTATTCTATTTCCATGAAGAGTATAGACATCTGGAGGTTCTATTTCGATACAACTCAGCCTAAGGAGAAAGGCGGAACACAATATTCAAGAACTAGGAAGTAGTGTAAATTGAGCAAGAGAAGAACATAGCGAAGCCTGGCGATTCGCTCTCTCTTTCTCTCTGACTCATCCACCTAGATAATATACGATAGTCCTTTATCTAGACAGAACTAGATAGCTCTTAACAGACAGCCCTCAGTGAGGGCTTTCAAGTCCTCTATGTTTCCTATATATTAATGCATCTCTCTCTCTCTCTCTCTCACTCTCTCTCTTTCCTTTTTTCCACTCTACAGCGACGCGCGAAACTCAAATCGAATCAACCTTCCCCCTCTCTCCACGGTAGTAAGCTAATATAGAGGGTAATAGAGCAATGTCAACCCCGGGAGGTGAGTTGTGATTGGTTAATGGGAAACAGAGACTGTGTCAACAGTGGAGGTGGGAGTGTAAATAACCTGCAGGCAGGGCTGAGAGGGGACGAGCTAAGTGAAGATTGTGGTTCCCCGTAGCCTTCCACTTCGACTCTGGCCGACACGATACCCCTCGCAGCGAAGTCTCTCAGACTGTTCGCGAGTCCCAATGATAGGATTTTCCTTTTGATTTTTTATATTATTATTATTATTATTATTATTATTATTATTATTATTATTATTATTATTATTATTATTATTATTATTATTCTATATATTATTATTATTTATTATTATTATTATTATTATTATTATTATTATTATTATTATTATTATTATTTTCTCTTTTTTTCTGTCTTTCTTCCAGGGGGTACCTTAATACTGACTTAAGTTGTTATGGTCAACGTAATATTAGTCAAGGTGATAACAGTCAATGTGATGATGTTTCAGGACAGACTGAATCATATAATTGCCTTCAATTTGCCAATTACTATTGCACAGAAAGTGATGGCAGGACATAGTAGTAAGTAGAAATAGGTAATAGGGAGTAAGTGGAATAGTAAGAAATAGGTATTGGAAACGTTAAGTGATACGAAACATTAAACAGTAGAAAATATGTAATAGGAAATAGGTAATGATCGGTAATAGATGGTAACAGGTAACAGTAGCAGAGTTCATCATTATTACGTGGTGTTCAGTCTGCCTTGCCTAGTCTGCGGCGCAGCCAATAAATTCAACTTACCAGTGGTTCCTACTACGTGTTCGTCACGGCCACGAGAACACAATACAACACGAACGCTGGCTACAATTATCCAGCAGCCCTTTTTTTTCCTCCTTCCTCGTTTGCCCGGCAGGAGCCGCCATGTTTCGAAATGCCACACTCCAAATACAATCATACGAGAATTTCGAAATATCAAATCTATCCCGCCTCGCGGCATTGCAGACGCATTTTGTTCATGCATAATTATTCGTCATGCGCACTAGTCGTAATATGAATCTAACGCCCAGTATGTTTACGATGATGGCGCAGTGTTTCAGTGAAGAAAAAAATAGCACAAAGCCTTAATCCGCCATCTTTCAAACTCAGTGGACGAAATATTTATACAAAGATTCTATTTTTAACGCGAGGACCAGCAGCATAATACCCGTGTCCAGGTATTCATTTCCCCTCGGTGTTCGAGAGCCTTTGTGAGCCGAGGCTCAGGTGGGGGGAAAAAGGGGGAAGGGGGGAAAAGAAAAGGAAGAATCTTCAGGTAGGCTACGGGATGGAAAAACTGCAAAATAAGGCGATATAATTTGATGGAGGAGCGAGGCTGTCGCGCGGTCCCCCATATATACAAACATGATAACACTCCGCTGTCATTCCAGCTAACATTCCTCCCCATCTATCGTCTGTTTCTAGACGATCGAGGAAAAAGACTAAGTCTGATGGGCGCCATCTGAGTTCCGGAATTCTCGGTTTGGAGGAGGAAAGGATTACTAGACATTACTACACTCAAGTCTGGAACTTTGTCCATCTCTCAGAATTATCTACTGGAAATAGACACCATCTTTGCTTCATAGAGAGTTTCAGAATATTTTGACACACACACACACACACACACACACACACACACACACATACACACACTTAATTCTGCTGTAGTTATATAATTACATAAAAAATGCAGGGACCCACTGGAGGATAGTGATGGTGGAGCCCAGGGCTCATGATGCAGGGGCCTGCTGAGGCTTTTGCTGCAGGGACCCATTGGGGCTTATGCTGCAGGGGCCCACTGCACCCGGCTCTGAATCAAACAGCACACTTTCAGCAGTAACATTAAGACGGAATACTTTAAGATTCTTAGACACAGGACCCGCCTGAACGCTGCTCTATGGCAAATTAACCTTGAGACCAGCCCCTCAAGACTAATCCGAGACTAAATTTAGAGCAGGGGAGCAACGAGCACAATGAGAGAATGTGTCAACATCCGTGGGCTCCGACCGCCAATCTGCAAGCAGCAAATATCAGAAATACAGCCGGAGAAAGCGTAGATATCAGTCCTAAGGAGAGTGAGACCTGAGGGCTGATATCTTGCCCCGACGAGTACAGAGAGGAACTGTACCCACCTGCACTCTGCTCTCCGGCAGGTTGATCTTGATAGCGACCTCTTCCCTCATGAAGATATCTGGGTATCTGGTCTTGGCAAAGAGGGACTCAAGCACGTCAAGCTGTGCCCTGGTGAAGGTGGTCCTCTCCCGACGTTGTTTCCTCGCCGGCGTCTGTGTCACTGTGGAGAAGGAGGTCCATGAGTTACCTGAGGGAGGGAGCAGGAAGAGCAGAGTTATAGGTGAACACCTCGACATTTTCTTTCAAGAAGAAATGTTATAGTTTCAAGAAAGTTATAATGCAGTTTACAAACTTTAATAAACACAATATATAATGAATAAGTAGGAACTGTGGTCAGAGATTAACAGGTCCACCTTACTGTTTATTCAGAGACAGTCGCTTATTACGACTTCATCTGAGTTAAAAACTTGAACATATGATTTCATAATATTTCAGCGGGTTCACAGTTAACCCGCACATAGGCCGAAACCTATGACGACGTTTCGGTCCGACTTGGATCGAAACGTCATAAATTTCGCTCTCCTAAGTGCGGGTTATTCATATATTGTACCAGTCACAGTATTGTGCCCTTTTTTTCATTATTTATGATATTCTTAAAAAAACTCTAACTTCTTAAAAAAAATTCGAACCTCTTAAAAAAAAATCCAAACCTCTTAAAAAAAATTCGAACCTCTTAAAAAAATTCGAACTTCTTAAAAAAATTCGAACCTCTTAAAAAATTCGAACCTCTTAAAAAAATTCGAACATCTTAAAAAAAATTCGAACCTCTTAAAAAATTCGAACCTCTTAAAAAATCGAACCTCTTAAAAAAAATTCGAACCTCTTAAAAAATTCGACCCTCTTAAAAAAATTCGAACCTCTTAAAAAATCGAACCTCTTAAAAAAAATCGAACCTCTTAAAAAAATTCGAACCTCTTAAAAAAATTCGAACCTCTTAAAAAAAATTCGAACCTCTTAAAAAAATTCGAACCTCTTAAAAAAATTCGAACCTCTTAAAAAAATTCGAACCTCTTAAAAAAATTCGAACCTCTTAAAAAATTCGAACCTCTTAAAAAAATTCGAACCTCTTAAAAAAAATTCGAACCTCTTAAAAAAATTCGAACCTCTTAAAAAAATTCGAACCTAAAAATCGAACTCTTAAAAAAATTCGAACCTCTTAAAAAAATTCGAACCTCTTAAAAAAATTCGAACCCAAATTTACTTAAAAAAATTCGAACCTCTTAAAAAAATTCGAACCTCTTAAAAAAAATTCGAACCTCTTAAAAAAATTCGAACCTCTTAAAAAAATTCGAAACTCTTAAAAAAATCGAACCTCTTAAAAAAATTCGATCCTCTTAAAAAAATTCGAACCTCTTAAAAAAATTCGAACCTCTTAAAAAAATTCGAACCTCTTAAAAAAATTAGCAAAGAGGTGAGTATGTAATTTCACAATATTGAATCAGTCTTATTTTTAGACAGTCGATAAACACACTTATGTGAAAGACAATAATTACTTGGGAAAAAGTTCGCATACGAGCGAAACCTTGTGTGAAATTTCGCTCACCTGTGGCCGAAACTTCATGATACTTATTTTTTGAGCGAAACCTCGTGTAATAAAGATCATCTACACACAAATAACCCACACATGGGAGAGAGGAGCTCACGACGACGTTTCGGTCCAACTTGGGCCATTTACAAAATCACACGAGCGAAAACTTACATTATTTTCTGAGCGAAACCTCGTGTAATAACGGTCATCGGTGAGCGAAAACTTATAATACTCTTTTTAGCGAGAAACCTCGTGCAGTGAAGATCACCTATTAGCGAAACGTGCAATTAAAATCACAAGTGAGCGAAACGTCGCAAAAAATGTGTTTTAGGTATGTGTTTTTCACGTTTACAAATTGTACTCCTAAAGGACAGTTTCTCTAGCTTTGGTGAACAGCTCTCGATCCAAGGAACTGGACCTGACCTCCCCTTTCTTGGATCGAACCTGAATGCCTCCCATTTCCCCAGGTGGTGAATGACTCACACGGGCTTAGCGCTCACCCCATACAGTAATAATAATAATAATAATAATAATAATAATAATAATAATAATATATAATATATAATATTATATTATTATAATATTATTATTATTATTATTATTAATATTAATAATAATAATAATAATAATAATAATAATAATAATAATAATAATAATAACAATAACAATTGCAATAATAGTAATAATAAATGCCAAATGGATTGAGTTAATGGATATAGAACCCGCATGGGCTCTTGATCCATGGAATTTGAGGTACCCTCCCGGGTACCTTACGGGTTTACCGCCTTCCCATGAATACTTACTTGAGGGATAAGGTACTGATGGGTGGACCCCATGGTCCATGGGTGAGTGGTGGCCCATACTGAGGCCCAGCCCATTCATGGGGTATGGGGGGCTCTTGAGATAAGCCATGCCGCCCCCTAGCCCCCCCTGGGCACCGAAAGTACCGTGGTAAGCCAGCCTGCTGAGGGCGTCTGCCTGGGGAAGGAGAAACATGGTATCAGTGACGTGTGACTGTGTCTCCTCATAAGTGTGGTGTTACACTACACACTCATGGTCCCAACATCTTCAATATTTTAACCCCAATACGGAGAACAAAACGTTCACAATAACGTGGCTAGAACAGTTCACTAAAAACCCGCACTTCTGAGAGAAACTTTATGGCGACGTCTCGCTCAGTCCTCAGTCATTGTCAAGTCACAAATTCTATTACTCCCGCTATCTTCTCCTCCCCCCCTTTCAACCGTATGATCTGACCTTCTCTATTTTCTCGCTCCAGTTATGGACTTGACAATTGTCCAAGACCGACAGGAACGTCGTTATAAATTTCCTCTTGTTACTGCCGATTTTTAGTGAATCACAACATACAACAGTGTAACAGTACACTGGTACTTTAAACAGTTTAAAACAACCTCACTGTATTTGTGCTTCACTTAACATCAGAGGATCTCAGTGTGCTGCCGAAGTATCGTCTCCGTGTAGATAGGCTTGTATGATACACACAGTTGGAATAAATGGCTTAGAAGACACTGGCTGGCGAAACGTTTCCAGAATGAGGATACCCAAGTGTCGAACAACTGTCTTGTTTATAATACATCGTTATGCAACACTTTCAGAGCTAAGCGAGCGTGTAAAGAGACATGTGGGAGCGAGCCGTTGCTCCCACATGTTTGTATACACGGAAGAACTCATGATAAAGCACTAGCTGCCATTCTACCATACTTGTCGGTGATACCTGCCATAGCACACTGCTATACTTGTAGCCAGTGCCTGTCCCACCACGCTACCGTCAGTGCCTGTCCCACCACGCTACCGTCAGTGCCTGTCCCACCACGGTACCGTCAGTGCCTGTCCCACCACGCTACCGTCAGTGCCTGTCCCACCACGCTACCGTCAGTGCCTGTCACACCACGCTAACGTCAGTGCCTGTCCCACCACGCTACCGTCAGTGCCTGTCCCACCACGCTACCGTCAGTGCCTGTCCCACCACGCTACCGTCAGTGCCTGTCCCACCACGCTACCGTCAGTGCCTGTCCCACCACGCTACCGTCAGTGCCTGTCCCACCACGCTACCGTCAGTGCCTGTCCCACCACGCTACCGTCAGTGCCTGTCCCACCACGCTACCGTCAGTGCCTGTCCCACCACGCTACCGTCAGTGCCTGTCCCACCACGGTACCGCCAGTACCTGTCCCACCACGCTAACGTCAGTGCCTGTCCCACCACGCTACCGTCAGTGCCTGTCCCACCACGCTACCGTCAGTGCCTGTCCCACCACGCTACCGTCAGTACCTGACATATGATGTGGATTAACAAACGCTAACATGCTGACAAGGTATATACTTCCCACAGTATCGAGTGCTGTCCCCCAGCTACCAGAGCTGATTACCCGTACGAAGCCTGTCCTCCCAGTACCAGATCAGTACTCCAGTACGATGTGACATAACCTAAATATAGAAGATTTATATACTCCCAGTATGAAGCTGTCACTCCCCAGTACCAGAGTGATATACTACCAGTACGAAGCTGTCACTCTCCAGTACCAGAGTGATATACTCCCAGTACGAAGCTGTCATTCCCAAGTACCACAGTGATATACTACCCAGTACGAAGCTGTCACTCCCCAGTACCAGAGTGATATACTACCAGTACGAAGCTGTCACTCTCCAGTACCACAGTGATACACTCCCAGTACGAAGCTGTCATTCCCAAGTACCACAGTGATATACTACCAGTACGAAGCTGTCACTCCCCAGTACCAGAGTGATATACTACCAGTACGAAGCTGTCACTCCCCAGTACCAGAGCGATATACTACCAGTACGAAGCTGTCACTCTCCAGTACCAGAGTGATATACTCCCAGTACGAAGCTGTCACTCCCCAGTACCAGAGTGATACACTCCCAGTACGAAGCTGTCATTCCCAGACCACAGTGATACACTCCACAGTAAGACGGCCGCCGGGCCGCCCCTCCACCCCGGCTATCACAGAGCTATTAAACACAGTGTAGGGCCCACCACTCGCACGTCCCCACTTCTCTGGTATCCCGGAAACAATTACCCACCGATGAGGAAGTAATGAGGTGACGGAACCACCACCAGCGGCGGAGAGGCGGCGGGGCAGCGAAGCCCCTCTCGTAGCGACACCGGACCGCCGCGGCCTGGACTCGGTCCGCCGCGGTGCCGTTAACACGGAATCAAAACTACATAACCTCTTGTTATTTTCATAAAAAAAATAAAATAAAAAACACTTTAACGAAGAGATATTCATAGATGAGGAGTATGTCAGGGTGATTAGGTAATAGGGAAGGGGGGGGGGGAGCCAGACAGTCCCCATCACTCATCCGAGACCCTAACGACCAGATTAAAGGACCTGAAGCCAGCGAAGCACTGGAGCCGCATATAACCGCCGATGCTCTTTGGCCGTTAGTGCTGTAGTTATTACTGATGGTGTGTGTGTGTTGTGTGTGTGT